AATTCTAATATTTAGATCAAAACAATAGCTCTGCTAAGCACAGCATAATTTTCTGAATTTCCATCTGTTTGCTTTCTGCCTCTTTAAGTTGATAGTTTCATGGAGCCAGAAAGGGAAAATTAATGTCTTTGGAAGTGCTACTAGATGACAAAAGAGGCTATAGGAGAATAGAGAAATATGTGGATGTAGTTGTGGCCATGGACTGGAGGGTAAACTCCTACTACCCAATGCCGGCAGGCAAATAATGAAGGAGACAGATAAGGAAACAAACAATTCAAAAAGTTCATCACTTAGAATCCATAAAAGAGATAAGTTTTTTTTTTAAAGCAAAGAAACTACATTTATTTTACAAACAACCAAAGATGTTTAAAATGAAAGATGCTTTAAGATCCCCCAGGGTTCAAACAGCTCCTTTAATGCATTTTCCTTCAACTGATGTATGACACAAAAATTCAGTAATATAATTTGCTCTGCTTTGACAGTCAAAGTCTAATCTTCCTCAATAACAAAGCAGCTAAATGACACTGTCCCCAAAACCTTTAACCTTAGACTGTCTACTCCTAAGAGGCTGTGCCTAAGAGGCCATGACTGTCTACTCTACTCCTAAGAGGCCGTGACTGTGTACTCCTAAGCACACCAACGTGCCTACTGTCCCTGTCCTATTGTTTCTTTTTATTTTTCTTATATGTATCCATTTCATGTATTCGTATTCATGTTTATACTTATACCTATTATCTTGTAAGCAACTGACAAATCAAATAAATAAATAAAATAAACTGTCCTTACAGCTTTGATATGGGACTTCTTCCAGCCACAGTTGAAAGGAGCTATGGATAGGTCCTTGAGGATTGTTTCGCTCCATCTCTGAGAGTTAACCAGCCAAACTCAGCTAACTATTTCAAAAGAAGGAAAAGCCACTGGCGAACAGAAATTTCTATTAAATTGCTGTTCCAAAGCAAGCTGACAAAGCATTTTTCAAATTCAGAATATTGGTTATATCGTGGATTTTGCTTCTACCATGCAGATGGGGTATTATGAAAGTGGGGACATGCTGGTAGCACCCCAGTTATCATGCTGAGAATTGCTGCCCCTTCTTCCCTTATTGACAGATGCTCTTCTCTACCTACCATATGCTGGATCCCCTTACAGTGCTGAAACACAAAAATAAAAAATAAAATCAAGTCTAATTGCCCTACAATTTGCCATCAGCATCTCAAAAATGAATTTCAGCTGTTCTGAAGCATGAAGTAGCCACTATGCTCTGCATTTAGGTGACCATGGGCCAGTCATTCTGTCAGCCCTGGGAAGGAGATAATGACAAACCATTTTTAAAAATCCCTTCTCAAGAAAATTTCATGGACTAGTTGAGGCAATCACCAGAAGTCAAACAAAACAGTGCAGAAAATGGATATCTACTTTCGCCTCTCCCACTGACATTACATTTTTGAATGGTGCTAAATCCTTTTGCAGAACATAAAGATTATTCTGACATTTTTCTCCTTTGTAGATAAGATTATGACTGGCTGTAGGCTGAAGGTATATATCAGTCCAGTAATTGATATTTTTAAGGTAAACAATGCTGCACTTCAATAATTAGATGGCCTAGACATTGGTATTTGGACAAAGATCTTTTTAACATTTATATTTTATTGTGTTTTACTAATCTAGGTCAGATGTTAATATACAGTATATTATTACTCCATGTGTGATATCCTATATGTTAAATAAATCTCCCCCTTTTCATTAAGATAATAAAAGATAATTTGTTTCTAAAGTTTCTTGCAAAGAAAAAGAGAATGACTGTAAAATTCTCACAGGCAGTTCTTGCTCTTGTTTAATAAGATGGCAGAAAGTCTGTGGGTAAATGAATGCCCTGTCTTTGTGCAGTCTTTCTCCAGCAGTCAGTTTCCAACATTTCAATTAAATCCCAAAGGAAGACATAATGAGGGAACTCCCTTGTGGCATCTTCAATCAAAGAAATGTTGATCACCCAGGATTCTTCAGAATGATAGATGAATTTGAGAAAGCATCAGTGCTACCATCCACCATAACCTCCCAAAAAACAAACAAGTTTGAAAACACCACTATTAGCAGATCAAAACAAAATACATTCTCAAAATACGTTTACATGAGTAAATGTAGAGGATGGGTGAAGGGGGAAAAGCTCTGACACATGCACCCAAATCATACAACACACATTTAATAAGACAACCTTAATCAAAATTAGAAAAACAAATAGGGGATAGAAAAGTACAGCCAGCTGGACCCAGCAGTATGCCTTCACATGATAGGAAAATAAAGTTGCAGGTTGATATCTTGGCATATAAAATGCGGATTTTAGTTTTACAAATAGTGCTGTCAGTAGGCAGGTTGAGTGAACAAATGAAAGAGAAATTTCATCCTTCTTTTCCCCAATGTGATCTCTAGGGAGATTCCTTTGAAGCTGATTTTTATTAGAAAAGGAAAAGAAAAAAAGTGATGCTGTTTATGTTTCAAAAGCCAGTAAATGCAGATATACTGTAGTTATCAAAGTATGTGGAATATCCATTGAGATAAAAGGAAAATGTTTGCTGCTTTTTTGAGTTTTTATTTTGGATTAGCCTTTGGTTCATCCTGTATCCAAGTAGTATCATTCCCTAGATTTAGCATACTTTTATTTTCCTGATATTCCTTCAGACAGCAGCTTAATCCACCTGCTTCCCAATCACTTCTCAAGTTCTGCTCCTATTGGGAAACATAACTTTTTGGAAAGGTGCATTCAATTTATTGCTTGTTTATGAGATCACCAGTGCAATTGTGCAAATTCAGCTTTTATTAAAGAAGAGGGAGGTTGGGAAGAAGAAAAACTGAAGCTTGCCACTGCAGAGAGAAAAAGGTTAGATAAAATGAAAACATGCCAAAATCTATTTAAAAATAGAGAGGAGCTATAATAAACTGAAATTAAAAGTGACAACAGGACTTATTAGGATAGTTGCTTACCCGGTGACTGCAGAATTTTATATTAAAAAGAAGATACTAACTCCAAGAATAATTACATAAATCAGAAACAAAACATTTGCTACAGAATTTGCAGATATATTGCATACCATTGGTAGGATAATATAAATTGGTAGTGATAATGGTGATGATGATGATGATGATGAATCCAGAATAAAAGATGCTAGATCCAGTTAGTTAATTATACTTTAATATCCCTTGTCTAATCCTAAGATCCTCAACCCGATGTTCATGGTGCCAATGTCCTCAAGGACTTTTCCCTGATTTCACTCCAATCCCCTTACCCCATTCTAACTTCTACAATTCTGAAAACTGGATCATAAGGAGGAAGCTGCACTGTGGAAAATTTTAAAAAATACTAGCATCCAGTACAATATTTGCTTCCCTGAGATTTGGGTCTTCATCACAGATCCCAAAGATGTTATAAAAATGATGAGGGGGTTCCCCTCAAATGCTCAAAAAAAATCAGCCACATGCCACATAACTGGACTTTGATAATGGTGAGAAGGGAAGGAAAAAACTTGCTAAAGAGGTTGGCTAGTAGCAATCCTACAAATGTAACCTCTGAGTGCTTTGTAATTGCCCCACCCCACCCCATACTATCTAGCCACCATTTATGGAAGGAGCAAGCCCTCTGTAGGACAGCCATTTTTATTGAGTGCCTATAACATGTTTTCAAAATGTCAAATGTGCCTACTGGCCCTCAAAGGTTGAAAAGCTCTAAGAAAATAATAGAATTTTATAGCATTAATAGAAAAAAGGTGAACAAGGTGAACAGGTATGAACAGTCACAAATAAATTATTGCCTTTTTTGAAACTGATTCTGTCATACCACAGTTTCATTGACATGAGAAATTGAGGCTGCAACTGTAAGCATGCTTACTAAGAAATGGGTTCTTCTAAACTTAACAGAATTTATTCCTGAGTAAACACATGTTAGGTGGGTTCATATTTTTTTCACATGCATAGTTGATTATTTGGGGACCAGTGAGTACATTTCAAATTTTAAGAATTTGTTATAGATTAGAGTTTTTGCAGTCATTAAAAAAGGGCATTCATGAACACAGGCATCTGCAGATGGTGATGATGATATGATTGTGAAAATTATAATGCACACTCTTTCATTTTTGATTTATTAAATTGTATTTTGCCTTTATTATTTTTACAAATAAGGCTACAAATATATATTACACACCTATTTTCCCCACAACAACAACCTTGTTGGGATAAAGAGGAATGGCTGGCCCAAAGTCACCCAGGTAACCTTGATGATTAAGGTGGGACTTGGTCTCTCACTTTTCTAGCTTGTTAACCATTAACCACACTTATATCCTGACATTGCGTAAGGCAGACAGTTTGTGTTGTGATATCATGACATGTTTTATCAGTGGTTGCCCCTAACCACACTCTGCGGTGGTCTATAACATTGGGATAACCAGTTATAAAACACCAATTTACCAGAATGTTATCTGCTAACCCTCTATCCGCATTCTTTTTCTGTATAGATAGATCATATCCAAAGCGCAGAGCTGTAAGTTGCCTATCATTTTTATTTTCTAAGAAAGCTTATGGGACCAACCTGAGACTCAGAGGCATTCTTAGAATTAAAGATGATGTTGAAGAGTTCCCCCCCCCATTTTAATTAAAATAATGTTTTCAAGATGTACAAAATTAGATGGGTCAGGAGATCTGACAGATACCGAGGGAAATACCTAGAAGCACATTGATATTTCAATGCAGTGGCACATTACAAATTAAAACTTGATTTTCAATCAAGTGTGTGCATTATGTCCATTATAAAAGCTTAGTTAATAGGACTTAAGACTTTGATGATCAGGAGGAGTTACAGTTGTTGGAATGAATGTGTGATATTGTGGCCCTATTTCCAAGTCAGCCAAAGAGGTAGTTTTATTTCTGAGAATTTCTGCAAGCAACCATTTCCACAAGGGTTACAGACCAACCTGGGTTAATAATTAATGCCTCTCCAGAAATAATCAGCCAAAGGAACTCAGAAACATTCCTCTTTTTTCCCCATTATCCCACAGCTATCTGGACACAGCTTAAACCAGGTGAGTCATCTCAACATAGAATGGGAGCGGGGGATCTTAAGCAGGAAGAGCAATAAAAGCTATATTAAGATAGGGTATTTAACAAAGTAAATCCATGAGTAAGAGTTGAAATAATAAATTGCAGGATGAAATGTTCCCTTTCAGTTTTCAGGCCACTTCATTCCATTCTGTTCCATTTGAACAGATGTCATTTCTTGCAGACCAAGATGTTCAGACTACATTAAATTGTTTGGGATATTCTTCTAACTTCTAGTCCCAAAGATATTTTTTCTGTTTCTGCAGACCTTGAGGTTTTCCCAAGCTTCCCTTTCATGCAGTCTGAGCATGGATTTGGAAGGAATAATAGATTTGATTAGATCATATAGAAGAAGCACCTGGTGCCAGCATGCGTGTATGAATGAAGATTTAAACTGGAAACTCAGAGGACGAATAGAGAATGGGAAACTGAGATACTTTCCCAGAGCTTTCTTATCCATCTTTTATTAATGGCAACATCAAACGATGACTTGCATGTCTGAATGAGCAATAAGATTAGAAATTCTGACTCATCTCTGTTGCTTCACAGTGAATCCATTTGCACATGCAGCCATGAATGACTGAGAAGCTGAACTAATAAGAAATCTTCTTGAAATGGCAAAAGTGCACAGCCACTCTTTATTTCTGAGTGCATCCTCCCCTACCCCAGTGCCAGTCACGATACTACTGTTCCCATCATCCTCAGCCATTAAGGCCCTGAGCCAACATATACCATGTTATATACATGTTAAGATGTTTGCCTCATTTCACAGTTACATAATTGCAAGTCCTTGTTTATATTTGCACTTTGTACGTGTTAACTGTGATATCTTTCCCAAGAGAAGATGGTTTTGCTCAATAGCCAAGATAGGATATTAGAATCAGAGCCTTGGATATCTAGGTTCAAATCCCCATTCAGCCATGAAAATCCCTGGGTGGCTTTGTGGTATTCCCTTGACTTATAACCTATTTTACAAGAAAAAAAACTGTATGCAAGAAGACAGGTAGCCTAAGCTTCACAAGGAAAGGCTAGATAAACATGAAATACCCTGGGGCCTAAATATGGGATCCAGTGCAATACCTCAGGCTCTGCTCAATCTTTGTCAAGCAAACTATAACATTTTCTGTGACTATTTATCTCATAGCAGGCTGAATGTTTGGAGGCCAAAGGAAGAGGCGGGTTGGAATTGTGGGCTATGGACATCTAGGTAAGTAGAATTTCTTGACCATATTTGTCTTATCAATCTCTCCATTCACCGAGTCTGCTAGTAGACAAGCAACTTGTAGTTATTACTTTTATTATATGAGCTCCTACTTCCAGCAAGATTGCCTAGTATTTGTAAAAATATGGGTGTCTTTTTATTTCAAGAGCGATTTTAACAAATCAGTGTGTTTTCTAAAACATTTGAATTGGGATTTGGTGAACATACTTTTACAAGCATTCTGAATGGAGCCTGATTGGCCAATTTCTGCCAACCTCATACGTACCACTTTTCCAGGAAAGGTAGCAAGTGACTGCCCTTAATAGGGGCAAAGGAGGAAGTGGGTGGGTGATAAGAGAAGACAAGATTCCCTTGAGATGTGTCACATTTCTCACAGCCTGATAACCTATTGGCAGCAAGTGTCACTATCTGCCATTCCTCAAGAGCATTTCTAGAATTGGCCAAATGCTTTGGTTCTTCAGGGAAGAAAAGAGGAGGTCTAGGGGTGGGAATAACTTACCAAGGACTTTGCAGAAGCTTAAGGTATCTATGCTAACCCTTAAAAACTTTCAACTTTTTGCAGTGATGTGAGGGGGATTAAGGGGTATAATGTGTGCCTTAAATTTCTGAAAACATTGACCCCACCCACTTTGAGTTATCACATCAACTGCCCTATCACCTGGAGACCATATAAAAACAGCTCGGGTTTTAGCTACTACAAAATTTCCCACTCCTGCGCTAGAGGCAGTCAAATGGTTTTCTCCAAAGAGTCATATTCTCATATTTTTCAAACCCAGGCTTTTTCTTAGGTCTTGATTTTGACCTGGAGCAAATGCCAAACTGTTCTTTCAGTTTTGATTAGTTTACTGTAACTGTCAGGATCTACTAACACACACACACCCCTGCGTCTGATTTTTTTTTTCATTGATTTTTGCTTTGGGCTAATAAAACAAGCCTTTATCTTCTTGTACATGTGCTTTTTTCCCCTAAGTATATAAGGTTTATTTTGCTGGATCAGAAAAAGATTAATGTATTGCTCAGCATTCTGTTTCCAATGGTGGTCAAACAAATCTTTCCTGAAGCTCATAAAATACATCCATTGTACTAAGCTATAATGTGATTTGCTTGGTTTTGGCTTAGAGCTATATAAACCATGATTTATGCTTGGGCATACTATAATTTACTGCATAAATCATGATTAGGCAAGTTATATCTTAACCTGACATGCGTGAACTCAATCAGCACATTAGAACCCTCCAAATCATTGGAGTTTCACGGAGTCACTCCCAGAACAAAATTATGGCAAAATTATGGCAATTATGCCAGAATTTTTATGGGTGACTTTTTCTCCCACATCTATAGTGTAACAGGTACATGAGATCCTTAAGTCCACAATGGTCATAATTACTTTTTCAAACTTCAGGCCAGTATCTGACAGAACGAATCCAGGATGAAGGCGTCCAACATGGGTTGGAGCTGGCTTTTGTTTGGAACCGGGATGCCAGTAAGATGGAGGGCACTGTACCAGTAGACCTGAGGTTGGGGAAGTTGACAGATTTTTCACAATGGTAAGCAGACAAGCCCTTTCACAATTAAGACAGGAAAAAAAATTATTTATGACCTGTCAATATACTTTGGATCACTGCAGCATCCCTATGGTGAAATGATTACAATCTGGGTGCTTGGCCATTGGCTTACATTTATAATGGTTGCAAAAATGTAGGGTCATGTGATCACTATTTTCAACCTTCCTAGCTGACTTCCAATAAGCAAAGTTTGTAAGTTAAGGACTATGTATATTGAGTTGAGAGCCACATTCAACCTTTGAGCAGTCTGCTTGGGCTACGCTCTAGTAAAAACATCAAATTGGATTTGATTTTAATAAAATTAAAACCAAATAAATGTATTTAGTGTGAGTGCTTCCTGCCTGTTTTTAGCAGTTAGCATAATGCAGTTATTAAGATGTTAGGCCCAAATTCAAGTTGTCTCTCAGCTCATTGAGTGATTTTGGGACAATCTTCATCTTTTAGCCCAGCCTATCTCACAGGATTTTTGTTATGGAAAAAAAATGAGAAGGCAATTCTATGAATGGAGAAAAGGTGTGATATTATCTAATGAATTATAATAATCATATACTATACACTCTATGGATGATCTCTGTAGAAACTGAATTGAATTTTATTGAATGAATATGTTTACGTAGACATGCCTTCAATGGACAATTTACAATGTGGCCAATATTTATTTTCAAAATCATTTTTCTCATTGGGAAGACGTGTTTCCTATTGGCGTTCTTGCCAGGGGAAACTAATGACCTTCTACTGGCATTCAAAGGTATTCAAACAGATACTTAGTTCTGTAAAATTGACTGTTAGAACTACTGCAAACCAAGCAGAATTGCCTCACATTTATTTGTTCTTACTGACTGTGTTGATGTTTAACCCACCTACCTTTAGGTTTTGATTGTTGTCTTTTGTTCTGAATTTCACTTTTCTTAGTTGCCTTGAAAGATGAAATACAAACAGAATAAAGAGGTATTCAGTAGAAAATCTCAGTAGAAAATAAGTAGAAAATCTCCAGTAGAAAATCTTTTTTTCAGTAGAAAATCTTCAAACATTAGCATTTCTAGGCAGGGCCACAGAGAACACTTGACAACAACCCTGGAGTGCTGCCATTGATCAAAATAGTTTAGCATTCCCCAACCTGATTCTGTGATTAAACCAGTCTTCTCTGACTAAGTGTGATGCCCTCAAGATGTCTAAACTTCCATTATCATCACCACTACCCTACTGGATAATGGGGAGTTATAACTCAATAACAGTCAATCTGGGGAAGGCTGAACTTCAAGGCACGTTGTATGAATCTCATGGGATCTTATGGAAGAATACATTATTTTTTGAGATTTAGTGCAAGGGTTGGTCCATTAAAAATACTTTTCAGTGGTTACAAAATGAAGGAGAAAAGGATGGTTATCTAAGTACTGCACTAGTTTAGTCAAGCTAGCCTCTAGTTATTATGTTTGTTGCTTCTTTCCAAAGCTACCCTGATGTCATTGTTGAAGTGGCACATCCCTGCATTGTCCAAGATTATGGGGAATTCTTCCTTAAAGCTGCAGATTTTATGGTGAGGACTACTTCTGCCTTCAGATAGTGGCATGCAGCATCAGCATATATTTTTTATTTCTTCCAAATATATTTCAAAGTGGTTGGGCAAAATGCATCTTTTTTTGTTTGATTGAATGAAAAAATGTATCCATCTGTACTTTTGCTGCAAACATATCTGATGAAATATTATCTCCATCCTACTATCAGCATTCTTTTTTTTCCCCTGCCTTTTTAACCCTTTAGAATGTCTTCCCCCAAGCAAATGTAATTCAGATATATTGGTCTTGATATTCCAGTCAACCTAGCCAGTGGTGAGATTCAAACAATTTAACAACAGGTTCACCCAGGGTCAGGTTGGCTGTTGTGGGAGGCATGGCCCATCCCCATTCTCCAGCTCCACCACACGAGGGATGAGCCTCCTGCAATGGCCAACCTGACCTTGGGTGAACCAGTTGTTAAATTACCCCCACCCCCACCCTTCACTATCAAAATAGATCCTGGCCACTGCACTGCAATGGAGAAACCGACAACAGAGTGGCTGGCATGAGGGGAGGAAGAGCAGGGATAAGAAAGAGGGAAAGTGGTGTTCCCCTTCCCTTGCACCCAGGATCCACTTTGATAGTGGGGAGTGGATAATTTAACAACCACTTCACCCAAACTGGTGAAAACTGGCTGCATCCTACCACTGAATTTGCCAACATCTTCCCTAAGTGTCGGATTTATAATCCCTATAATTCCCAATTAGCATAGATGGTGCTTATCTAGATATTTGCAATTGCATCACATCTGAAAAAGCTAGTTTAAAAACTTGATTTACTTAAAAACAATGGTATCAAATTTCTTTCTGATAAATCTTGTTGGAGGCATTTTTCTCTTCAGTGTATATTCTTGCAAGGCATTTTGAAGGAATCAATTTATTAAGTGAATACTCAGCTAGCAGTGAAAAAACTATGATCATGCTGGAACACTTTAGATTATTTTCACCCTGATTCAACCAATGGAGCATCTTGCTCCAAATGTGACATGCAAAAGACTCTAACTATGGTTTCTAGCAGGAATAGGGAACTTTTGTGCGATCAGAGACATTCAGTGTTTTGGAAGTGTTCAAGGATCATAGAGTGTGAAACAATAATGAAAATTGTGTTTAAGTTTGATATAATTATTCTCTTTTAGTGTACTGCATCTTGCTGTCAAGTATATCCCCAAGTACTTGATCTTATTTTCAATAGGTCTGCCAATTAATTTTCAATAGGTCTGCCAATTAAACAGCAGATAGCGCTAGATTTGGCAAAATGGGAAAATTTACAACTGTCATTAATAGGGAGAATATCAACAATCAAGATGAATATATTACCCAGAATTTTATATTTGTTTCAAACAATTCCAATTAGGCTTGGAAAAGATTACTTTGAAGATTTAAATAAAATTGTGTTGAAATATATATGGCAAGGTAAGAAAGCGAGAATAAAGTTAAAACTTTTGCAAGATGCTAGAATAAGAGGAGGATTTGGTTTGCCTAATTGGGAGTTGTATTACCAAGCTACAAATTTGATGTGGATTCAGGAATGGATAACATTAAGAAATACTAGATTGTTGACATCAGAAGGACATGACCTGTTGTTTGGGTGGCATGCTTTTTTATGGTATAAAGGAACTAAAACACAGGGGTACTTTAGAAGACATTATGTACAGGAGTCTCTGTGGTTAAACTGGGAGAAAATTAAAAGACAACGTTATTTGAAAATTCCAGTCTGGATATTGACTATTGAAGCATTTTCTTTTCCTATAATATACAAAAAGGAACAAACAGTTAGATATGGTGAAATATTGAATGAAAAGGGTGAACTTAAATCTATACAAAAATTAGAGGAACAAGGTATAAAGATGAATTGGTTTTCATATGCACAAATACATTCAAGGTATGATAAAGATTCTAAAACAGAAGGTTTCTATGATAAATTGACTGGCTTAGATAAGATTTTGACAGGTACTGATGAAAAGGTGATTAAAAAATTGTATAGATATTTATTAGAAATTAAACTAGAAGAACAAGTTAAAGAAACTATGATTGCTTGTGGGAAGAATTTTGGATATGGGATTGATCTAGATAAATGGCAAAAATTGTGGTCTCAAAATTATAAAATGACAATGTCAACAGCATATAAAGAACATTTGTATAAGATGTTTTACAGGTGGCACTTTCCCCCAACAAGAATAGCAAGAATGTTCAAGAATAAATCAGAAAAATGTTGGAAATGTCATCAGATACCTGGCTCATATTACCATATGTGGTGGACTTGTGTGGATGCTAAAAAATACTGGACTAAAATCCACATGTGGTTGGAAAAAAATGACAAAAAAGCATATAGATTTGAAACCAGAAATATTTTTATTGGGAATTTTACCTGAAATATATAGTAAAGACTTGAAATACCTGATTGTACATGTATTAACAGTGGCTAGGATTGTATTTGCTAAAAACTGGAAAAATGAGAAAATACCATCACAGGAGGAAATCATTAAGAACATATTGGAATGTGCTGAAATGAGTAGATTGACATTTGAAATTAAAGAACAAGATGATAAACAATTTTATAAAATTGGGGATCTATTCTATCAATGGTTAGACAATAAAATATAGTAATGAAATATGTAGACTTTTAGAAAATAATAAATATATAAAGATGTATTCTTTTCTTATTATATCTACAAAATGATTCTAGGATAGATCTGGGATAATAATATGAATTGTCATAAAACAAATTAAGTAAAATATGATCATTTTGGAAAACATGAATGAATAAAAGTATAGACAAATGATTAATAATGATATTAATGTATTTAATATATTGATTGAAAATATGAGATTATATACAATGTAATTATAATTGAAGAATATGAAATGGAAGCATAAAACAATTTGTAAACCAACCAGCACACTGTATGTACATATATGGAAGATGATTTGATGTTTTTATGTTTTGTTTTGTTTGTTTATGTTTGTTTTAAAAACCAATAAAAATTGTTTTTTAAAAGGAAAAAAAATAATGAAAATTGTGCATGATTATGTCATGTATATAGGCAGGAACAGGTTTTGCTATTTGTTCTGATGTTTTGGGAGAAAATTTGATATTTCTTTGTTCTGTAGATTATGTTAAGATTACTTTTAAAGACTTGTGGTTTTCATGTTTTCTATGGTAGAAAAACTATGCCATTAAATGTTGACAAATATCTGAGTCCCAGTAAGAATGGACATGAATTCGGATCACAGAATATGGTAATTCTAAATTAACATTTCCAAACATGACATTTTCCAGATATGTAGTCTGACTCCCAGAATTCCCTGTAAGCATGGCCATTACTGAGAAATCTTGGAGTTGAAATCTGCATATTTGGAATGCCAGCTTATGAAAGGCTAGTCTAAATGAAATAAATCACATAATCACTTAGTATGCTGCATGTACTTGGTCTCTGTATCCTTCTCCTTTGTCCTATCAAATTAAATTATTTAATTATTTTGCGCTCAATAATTGGAGACAACTAGTAAAAATGTCATCCTGAAGCACTCCTCTCCCAGACTCCCCACCATCAACAATGCAAATATCTCCATGTCCTCTAGGTGGGGTCACCCACAGCCCTAGCAGATGTGAACACTGAGCTTAGATTACGTGAAGTGGCAAAAAAGACTGGACACACTCTCTACATCCCCAGTGGAGCTCTATGGGGTGGTCAAGACATTCAAAGGTTGGATGGTGCAGGGATGCTCCAGGTAAGTGCTTATAGAGAAATGGGGTAGGGTGGCCTTCCTTAATCTAATGATATCTATAAAAAGTGGGGCTGCATCTTCCAGAATTCCCAGTCTGGAAAGGAATTACAGCCATTGCAATTGAAATCTTAGAGTTGTACCCTAAGTCCAGATAGGAAACCTTAGCATAAAAGAAAATGTATATGTTGATAAAAAGAAATTTGAACATAAATATTTGGAGAATTACTGACATCATCAAATGCTGTGGAAGCCTCCAACTTGAAATACTTTCAGCCAAGCAATGTATATATCACAGAGAAAAAACAAAACAAATTAATACTCTGATTTAATGTAAGGCACTTTCCTTATTCAGAAGTGGAAATCTTTGGGTTGGGATTCTAAATTTTAAAAGGCTAAAAGAAAAAGGTATTTAAGGATTTGTAACTTCTCCCATACTCCATTTTGTTTTTTCTAGGCATTAAAAGTCACCATGACTAAACACCCAGACAGTTTCCGGTTGGGTGGGGAGCTTGGGGAGCTTGCAAAGCGAGCCCAGGAGGAAAGCGTGGTTCTGTACAATGGCCCTGTGCGGAGTCTGTGTCCCCTGGCCCCCAACAATGTCAACACAATGGCAGCAGCTTGCATTGCTGCTCCAAGTCTGGGCTTCGATGGTGTGAAAGGTTGCCTGGTGGCAGATCCTAAGTAAGTCTTGAGCTAAAGGGTAAGCAACTTGGTACTTGTGAATCCCTCTCTTAGTTTCTAATTCACATCTTGCATGCCTAATTTTTATTTGGTTTTTTTTAAAGTTTATTTCAGTCGTTTAAAATTTAAATGAGCAACCTGCACGCCTTATCTTTATTTACAAGACTTCTCCTGTTCCCCAAATAGGGCCTGCAGGCATTCTCAAGGAAAAAAAAATGACTGGGGTGGGTGGGGAGGCCAGAGATTTGTTTGGGAAAATGTCAAGCAGAATTGGCAGAAAAGTCAAGATGATTTCCATGATAGTCATAAAAAGGAATAGCTTTGATCACCATATAGCAGTAACCATCTTCTCTCTGTTTTTTTAATGATACACTGTAGACACCCCTAGTTCTAATTTAAAAAAAAAGAAAACTCTTGTATCTAGGGAATAATCTGAGGATTACAATTGGTGTTGTAGTTATATTCTTGATAAATGAATATTTTCTGACTGGACACAAGTATCATGGTAGCCAGAGGTGTATTAACCATTAAGCAGACTAAGCACGTGCTTAGGGCACCAGGCCCAAAGGGGGCACCACAATGTTGAGAATAGGGCTTCATTTGTACAGTATGTACAAAGTGGAGGGGGGCACCAAGATTTGTCAGTGCTTAGGGCACCAGTGAGCCTTAAACCACCACTGATGGTAGCCATTTCCTGAAAGTGCTTAAGATAGGATCTCCCACCCTCTGATGTAAAAGTAATGTCTCTCAATCTGGACAATTTTAAAATGTATGTCTTTTAACTTCCAAAATTCCCCAGGTAGTATGTTGGCTAGTGAATTCTGGGAGTTGACATCCACACATCTTAGCGTTGCCAAGTTGAAGAAACACTGGTATGAAGCATGTGCCAGCAGACTCATGACTTTGTGTTATTTTTCTTCTAAACTTCTGGTTTAATTGAGCACAAGTTTATCTTGCAGCCTTCCTGACTATCATGTGGTGATGATTGAAGCAACAGGCCAAGGGGGCTTCTCAGTCAACACCAGTCGCAAGAACCCAGCTGCTTGTGGGGCTGTCACAGGGTCAGCCACCTTTGCTGCCTTCTGGAGCAGCCTATTGGGTGAGGATGAAAACCTTTCCTTACCCAAAATTTATGAATCCACCAGACTGTCTAGACTGTACGTCAGTTTGTTCCAATCCTGACTTTGATTAAAACAATACCTAATTCTTGGTTGGAACTTAGCTTTCCCCAATCTTTCATGCCAGCTGTGCTGGATAGTCATTTTCTAAATCCCACCTAGCATTACTCATCTCATTTTTTATGGGGTATGGGCAAATCAAAGTCCAGTGCTTCTAGAGGGCAACAGTTGGAGAAGGCCAGCTGAATATTATCTTGAACTTGTAAGTGAACTTTGATACATGTGCAGATGTGGCAATTTCAACATTACATTTGCAATTACAAATTTATATATCATCAGATAAATATGCTTTTCTACACAAATCCTTAAGGGTACAACATCCCTATCTTTTTTATATCAAACTATCTTGCTAGGTATTCTAAACTAGTTTTGTTACAGCAATGTGCAACTGATGGAGTTAAATCACTTGAAATCTTGAATAAAACAGATTAATAGGGGTCTCCTTTTGCAATAGTATTTATTTTACCAAGAAATAAGCACCTTTGTTATTTAGAAAAAATATAAAGGGGTTATTGGAATACCATCAGCTGGTCCTTGATTTTAGCTGACCACTGATCACCACTATAAAAAAAACAAAAACAGAACAGCTAATCAGAGTTGGAAGGGACCTTGTAAATCATCTAGTCCAACCCCCCATCCAAGCGGGAGACCCTACACCATTTCTGACTAATGGCAGTCCAATCTCTTCTTGAAAGTCTCAAGTGATGGCGCTCCCACAACTTCCGAGGGCAAGCTGTTCCATTGGTTGATTGTTCTCACTGTCAGAAAGTTTCTCCTTATTTCCAGGTTAAATCTCTCTTTGTTCAGTTTCTATCCATTATTCCTTGTCTGGCCTACAGGTGCTTTAGAAAATAGCTTGACCCCTTCCTCCCTGTGGCAGCCCCTCAAATATTGGAAGACTGCTATCATGTCTCCCCTGGTCCTTTTCTTTACTAGATAGCCAAGCCCAGTTCCTACAACCGTTCATTGTATGTTTTAGCCTCCAGTCCCCTAATCATCCTGGTTGCTCTTCTCTGTACTTTTTCTAGAGTCTAAGGATAGTGTTAAATGCTTTTAAAAATTAAGGTGAAAGAATAATGTAGAGAGTAAGTCTTGGCATTCCCATACCAGCTCAAGTTCTTAATCCCATATCTGATTTGTAATTCATTCTTTCTTTCTTTCTTTCTTTCTTTCTTTCTTTCTTTCTTTCTTTCTTTCTTTCTTTCTTTCTTTCTTTTTCTTTTTTTCTGGAAAAAGTGATGTGGTTCCTGGGCCTTTGATTTGGGCTCCAAGGCGTACAGTAATCCTATAGTAACATAACATAACATAACATAACATAACATAACATAACATAACATAACATAACATAACATAACATAACATAACATAACATAACATAACATAAAACAATTGCTGTAAGAAAATGATAAGAGAATCGTTCCTATCATGAATCTTTCTACTCTAGTGAGTAGACAATCACATCTTTTGGTTATACCTTCATTTATCTTGTATATTATTTGTTTTCTACTTTGGGTGATCTCTGAACTATCCTTAATGGTGATCAGGAGTCAGTTTAAAAAAACATAGACCGAGAGAAAGTGTGGTATGGTGGTTAAATTTATTTAGTTGATATCATACATGGACTAGCAATATTTATTAACGTTTCACCTAGATTAATACAATGCCATAAAATGTTAAAAAGATATATGTTCAAATATTAATGTTTAGGCCATTTAATTATTGAAGCTGTAGAAAGTTAGCACCCGCCCTTCTCCTAGAAGAATGAAATATTCTAGGAAACATTAAAAAGGAAGAATAATCCATCTCCCTGTATGAGAAAAGGAAATGCATTCCCTTGGAAAGCAACCCCCACCTTTGTTAATAGCCCCAGAAAGACTGGACTATCCTATCTACAAGACAAAAGGCCTTAATGATAGGATTAGCCCTCACTCAAGATCCAAACCAGGACAAAGCCATAATAGGAATTGCCCAACACCCTTTCAAAACACAATCCTCTTCATTACGTCATCATCCAGCAAGATTCAACCAAGCCTGGGATTCAAGACAACTTACAAAGTTACCTTTGCATGGCCCCATGGGAGTCTATCAACCAATCAGAATATATTTCTTTCACAGGAACAGGAAGCAAGTTCAAAGCCCAAGAGAGGGTATAAATCTCTCTCTCTTGCTGTCTCATCAGTGCTTGATTACCTAGGACCTCAAGCCATGTGGTCCTCTTCACCATTAAACTATCTTCCCAAATAGCCTCCATGTTTCCAGTATCTTTCTCTCCACTTGGAACTGAACCCAGATGGCCATTTCTTCCAAAAGAGCACAGAGTTTATATTTTTTTAAAATCAAACATTGTACTGGTACATGCCCTTAGCCAGTCACAATATGAGCTACAGTTTGAAGTAGAAATATACAGTTATGCTAAGGGGAGGATACAGGGGTGGGATTCTACCAGTTCTGTCCACCTCTTTACAACCGGTAGTTCTGAAGAGCAGCATAGAACCAGTTCTATGTCTGCTGCTGTTTCAGCCCACCCACCCACCTGGGCTCTTACCTGTCTTTTTTATTTCCTGCATTTTCAACCGCAGCTGCTTTGTGCGACACAGCTGCAGTTGAAAAAGCAGGGGAAAAGGGCTTTTCCAACCGCTGTGCACTTGCACGGAGCACTGCTCAGCTGTCCGGGCAGCTCAGCGGGCTGTAAATTGTACTTGTGCGACTTGCGCATGCGTGCACAACGCAGAGTGATAGAACCGGTAGTTATACCAGTCGGATCCCATCCCTGGGAGGATACTATGCCCCATTTATACACAGAGCCCTGGCAGATTCTATGTGAGGTGCAAATCCTATTGAGGATTGTCCATTGCTGATATGATAATTCAAAGCCTGGCACCTTTTTTGTGGGGTCATTTATATGTCTTGGTTAAAGTAATAGCTTAAAACTGGGGAGACTCAGATATTATGAACAGAACCTCATTGGATTCAATTCATCAAAGTCACGTGGTGGGGATAAATAAAGGGAGATTCTAATGCAAGCTATTTTGAGACAGGATATTAATGTAAAAATAAATAATAAAATAATTTAATTATCTGAAAAGTAAAGGCTGCAACCTTACTTGCTCAAAGTTCCCCCCGAATTCAGTCATCTTTTCCCAAATATTTGGGAGGGACTCTAACAGCAGGATTTAGCCTCTGTGACAAAAGGATGGAAGTTTTAAACTTTTTCCTCTAAAGCCATAATGTCCTTCCCCAGATCTCAGCAGGTGAAATAGGTAGGCGCATTTAGTAAAAATGACACTCTCTATGAAACTGAGATTTGTGGCTAAGAAATCAGTCTTCCTCTGCAACCTGTTATGTAGAGAGAAGAATCAGTTTTAAAAGAGACAAATAGAATCAAACTTTACTTTAAAAAAGAAAAAGAGACAATGACAAAGGAGATTAAAGACACAAAGCTGTTTAAATCACATGCAGCATCTTAGAAGGATCTCCAATAGAAAAATAAGCAAGAAAAGGTAAGGTTGTAAGTAGTTCACAAATTACTTATCCTTAATATAGAAGCAACTCTGCTGCAAAGAGGAGTCATTTGCATAAAACATACAAGAACTGAGACAATTGTAGAGAGGCAATAATCACCAGAGATAATAGACTTAACTTCCCACATTGTTAAAATTAAAATTAGAGAGTATTTCTAGCTAAATGTTTTAGTTTTCCATATTCTTAGGCTAAGTTGATCACTGAAGTTACACTATAAGTGTTAGCTTCTGTAAAATTCTTTTTAAAAATCAGAAACTAAAAAAATATTTCCATCTCTTCACATAACATTTTACTCCATTTCTCAAGAGTTCAGCTTTGTTTTTCAAAAGGACCCAAATTTCAATATTTTTAGGAAAGAGGAAATGGCTGAGGAAGTTGATTATTTTTGTTTAGATACTGAAGCAAATTTCTGCTTCAGACAATTATAAGGGAATTGACTAAGAATCAGGTTTGGGAAATACCATAGAAGCAGTAAGCCAGGCCTTGAATGATCTGTTCTCTTTTCCTTCCTATAGTGTGCCAAGGGCATGGAGGCCAAGTCTACCTATGCTGAATTATGAGATCTCTTCCTAAGAAGATCCATGGAAGATACTGGAAGGTAGTTACAACGGAATTGGAAGACAAGAAACCCACTCACACATCTTGGATGGTTTCAGTTTGTCAGTCAAATAAATCAACTTTCTCTAGTCTGAACACCTTGCAAATGTGTAGATCCTAACTATTTTATTTATTTTTTATTTATTTGTCAATCGCTTACAAGATAATAGGTATAAGGATAAATATAGTTATGAATACAAGAAATGAGTACATATAACAAAAATAAAAGAAACAATAGGACAGGGACGTTAGGCACTTTGGAGCGCTTATGCACACCCCCTACAGACCTCTTAGGAAAGGGGTGAGGTCAATAGTAAACAGTCTAAGGTTAAAGTTGTTGGGGTTTGGGGAAGAAACCAGAGTCAGGTAGAGTATTCCAGACATTGACCATTCTGTTGCTGAGAATTTTGAGACTAGAGGTTCACAGATCTGAAGCAACACTGGAATTGGAGGAAGCTGGTAAAGTAACTCATAAGCTTTTGTCCATTTCCTCAAAATCAGTATTTCCCAATATGGCATCTTTTAGATGTGTCAGGAGTACATCTCTCATCACTCCTGCTCAGCATAGCTGTTGGTTGGGTGCATTGTTGGGGCCTGTCAACATTGTAATGTCTTCCCTAGCGAACACTAAATTGGAGAAGATGGCTTTTGCTTTCCAAGCTGACAATGGTTTTGATTCTATCATCCTTCTGGCTTCCTTCCATTGCCCACAAAAATAAAGCCAGTTTGGTCTAATGGGTAAGCCACCAAGCAAGGAACTGGAAGATCTTGAGTTCTAGACAGGTCTTAACCATGACAGTGACTCTGGGTCAGTCACTTTCTCTCAGCCCAACCACCACACAGGTTTGTTGTTGCAGGGAAAACAGGAGGAGAAAGTAGTATTGTGTGTGTCTGCTGCCTTGAGCGATTTATAAAAAATAATAAATATGACACGGGGATAAACTGATTCAAATGAGATAAAGTTCAGTTGCTGGAATTCTTGCAATCCCATCTCATTCTTCTCAATAAATCTTGTTAAAGTGGCATGGTGACAATTGTGCTTAGGAATATCATTTTTGCTTTTAGCTGGATGCTTAAAGATCTGACAGTATGTTATTTGAGAGCAGGTTGCATTATGCTTATCAGAGGGATATCTCAAGGGAGCTGTTCCTGAAATTCTGAGCATGTTAGAACAGAGCAGAGCTACAAGTCCTGAAATCCAAGGGCCCCCATGTGGCCTTCCAAAGCCATGAATGCCTCCCAAAGTTGTTAACAAATTGTCATATTTAATATAATACATGGAAGAAATAATAAAACTCATGAAAACAGATAATCTAATTAATTATATTTGAGTTTGGTTTACAATATAATTTTATTCATTAATATACTTCAGTGGTGAAAAGATCACCCAGTAATATCACTGTTGCCTATAGGGAGTTCTTTTCATGTCCCTGTTAATAGGCCCACCAAATTTACTCATATTTTTACTCTTTTGAACTGCTAGGTGGGTAGGAGCTGGAGCAAATGGCGGGAGTTTATCCAATCACACAACAGCACTTGGGCTTCGAATGTGTGTTGCAAATTGTCAACCCAGCATCGTAACCACATGAGACACCACTCTCCTTATTCATTAGTATAGAAAGTTAATTTAAATGCAATTCTTATCCTGACCCTGTCCACTACTTCAGGATGTGTACCACTGATAGGCCCAATGCAGCTGTCAGGTTTAAGAAAGGACATCCTGGTTAGAGAGATGGGGAATGGCTTTTGTAAGTTGCACTTGGTGATACTTAACTGCAATGCTGGAAAGATGCCCAGTCTCCTACTGAATGCATGAGGCCAATTAAGAAAAGCACAAACAAGAAAATTTATTTAGTGGTTAAGGCTCCAGAAACCAGGTTTAGGCCTGAAAGATGGATAGATTGATTTTATGCCAGCCCCCCTCTCTCAGCTGAACTCATCTCACAGGGTTACTTTGGGGACAATAGAAGGAAAGATTACTAGATATGTTCAACATCTTAAGTCATTTATAAAAACAATAACAGTGAAAAAATATTTTTTACAAAACCTATTTTCCCAAATATTTATATCCTTACATAGCAAGACTCTTATATTCTTTTCTCAACTTCTTCATTTAAATCGAATAGAATCATTAATTAGTAAATTCCATTTGATTCCAATTTTTTAACTTGACATAATTAGTATTTACCTTGAAGCTGTCATTCAGCTGAATAATTTTTTATAAGGAAATCTGCCATTATGAGCTTCTTTGTTCCATCAATCCTAGGTGTGACCTGAAATATACAGGACTTAATTAGTACCCAATTTAAGTAATTTCACAGTCTTTAGGGCAGTAACTTTATTAAGTCAAACTGAAGGTCCTAATAGGTAAAATTTGGAGAGCTTTAGATCTCCTAAATTAGCTATTACATAGTGATAATGGTCATTTAATGTTATTATAGTACTCAGGATAACACTGCTTGATGAAGAAATTAAAACACTTTGCTATCTATTAAGTTATGAGACATCCCACTTATTTTAAACATCAAAGGAGAATAGCTAGATGTCTGAAAAGATTGTTTAGTGCTACTCAATATCCTTGAGTGTATGTGTGTATGTCTGCCTAACTATCTGTCCGTCCGTCTATCCATCCATCCATTTAATTGCAACAATGTTATTTCATGTTACAAGGAAGGCTCCCCCAATTTAGCATCCTTCAACTATGCTGATGTTGCAAATTCCAAAATTCAAAATATGAACATCTTAGCAGGTTCCACTGTTCAACTGACTTTGACTAAACTCAGAAATTTCAGGCTAGAGTGGGAAACAAAAAACATCCCAAAATACAGAGGAAATAAAATACTACTATGGTGTTGCTAAGAAAACTGCACTAACTATATCCAGATCTCTCTAGGTCTCAAAGGGGATATTTATGGACAGTATTTACAGAAACTATTGTAAGGAATAGATGTGTTTTCAGCATTTTAGCTTCAGAGATTTTTATCTATTTAGGGAAAATTTTAAAGAATGGATGCCTTTTCAGCATTTTACAGCACTGTATGAAATTAAGACAAAGGTACTCTTTTGGATAGATAGGTGTAGTTAGAATTTTGTCAGCATATCATAAATACAGACAAAATGGCTGATGGAAGCCCATTTATTCATAAAATGGCTGCTACAATGGCATAAAACTTATTAGTAGTACTCGCAGAAACTTTGTCTTGTTTCTCTGGATGTTCTCTGCTTCCACAGTAAGAAACAGACACATTTCCAAGCAAAGCACTGGACTGAAATTATACCCACATTTTTTATTTTATGAGAATGTTTGTCGAAGCCAGGGGCATTCTTGTAAATAAAGGTGATTGTAAAACCTCGCATTTAGCAGCATTTCCCTTTTCTTTTTATTTGTTTGTCTTTTTTTAAATTAAAAGATTAAATGATAAGATCAGGTTGGGCTAGAAGCTATGCAGACTTCAAGAAATGTGTCCTTGAACATATCTGTCCTCATAGCATGCTTATTCCTAGATTAAGAATTATTGCCTTTTTTTTCTAACTGGAGCCTGTCATTTATAGACAGAAATTCAACAATGTAACACACCATAAACAATGGTAGTTTGCTATACATATAAAAAAATCTCTATCACTTTTGGACTACTGTAATGAACTCTACATCGGTTGGCTTTGAAGATTAATCAGATGTTTCAAATGGTCTGAAATGCTGTAGCTGAATGATGAAGCTCAATAGATGTTCCCATATAAATACCTCCAAGACCTACGTTGGTTAAGTTACCTTCAGAGTGCAATTCAACATGCCCCACTGACAATTTGAAACAAAACAAATTGTGACTATGACTTGGCCAAAGAATGAGTAAGCAGTTTGCACTTACTCTATTTGGATGAATTAAAATTATTTAGAAAAGCAAAGGCTGAACTAGATTCCTTATTAAAAAGCATAAAGGGATTCAGGGGAAAGAAGGCAGAGCCTCCTCGCTGACGGACGGTAGATTGCGACTCTCTGCGGCTATGGTCTGTGCTCTTTCATTGGAGAGCCCCAATTATTATGATTAGGGGCTGAAGCTGCCTTGGAGGGGCGGTGGAGTAACGGTTGAGGGGAGTTCAAGTTGAGGGGAGCCACATCTCCCCCCCTGGGTTTGGTCTTTTTCCCCCTGAAGACGACTGTAGCGGTGGTTTAAAAAGGCCACCCCGAAGAGGATGACTCAGCTGGATTAAGATTTGTGCAGGAAGGAAGAAAAAGGTGGATAACATCTGAACCGGGACAACTGGGCAATAGAACTAAACAAAAGTACCCCGGGATTAAGGTAACATGGAATTTTTAAGAAAAGAAAAGTGAGTGGCGAAATTACAAAGGGACAGAGGAAAAAAAAGGAAATATTTTTGAGAGCTAAGCGGGGCTTCGAACCAGGAAAGGAAGAAGCGGGAACTAAAGATTTAACAAAATTGGACTAAAATATTTTGGGAATAAACAGGCATAATATAAAGCTGGATTTACGATTGTCAAAAAATAATAATAATAAAGTTTACAAATTGGAGACTGGACTGTGCTGGAATATGGAGGTTCGAAAAACCCTAAATAAAAAAATAGGGGGAAAAGGTGAAGACTTTGTATAATGGAGAGTGTCACCTTTTGACAAAAACTTGAGCTCAAACAAAAGGGAAAGCATCCTATTTCTGAATGAACTTGTGTGGATATAACATTACACAAATATTGAAACAAAGTAAGAATCTTAGAAAGTGAAAGCAGGACCAGAATAAAGAAAAAAGCAAGGAAAGACTGACTGTGGGATTGATTGATGTTTTTGGTATAGACCCTGGGCTGGAATAACTGAGAAGTTTAGAAAATTGAAAGAAGAAAGAAGGAAAGTAAAAGTGGTTTTTTTGTGGACTTTAACGATCATAAAATATAAGAGTGTGTAATGATGATATCTCTTTGGGAATTAAAAATGGAACTAAAAAATATGAGAGAATTACTACAGGAAAGAGGCGAATCACTTTGCTCTGTGTTAGAAAAAATGGAAATGGCAATTGAAGAACAAGAAGAAAGAGCTTCAGAGGAGGAGGAGTCGACTTAAGGAGAAGATATTTTAAATAGACAATTAACACAAAGAATGCTACAAAGAAGTGGGGAAAGAAGGAAGGTTAAAAAGTTGAGACTTAAGAAGGCAATCAAAAGAGGGTATACCTGTGAAGTCAGGAAAGGCAGAAAGACCCAGCAGAAAACGGGAAAGGAAGATATTAAGAAAGAGAGGGATATAAACTGGAATGAGAAAAGATATGGGGAAAAGAGGGGGAGGAGAAGCAGTAAGAAACAGGTGCATGAAATAAAGAAATACAGAAATAGTAAAATGTTGAAAAGAAATTGTTTTTTTCAGAGATAATGGTTTATGAATTAAAAGGGGGATTCTGCAGGGTGACAAGCGGGAATAAGAATATTTCTGCAATTAAAAATATTTAGAAAATAGGGTAATATAGATACTGAAAACTCTTATTAAAAATCAAGGGGGGAAAATATGCTGCGGAATCCAATTGAAAAGATGTAATGATTATTATTGTAACTTCTTAAAAATAATGGTTTATTGGGAATCAAGATGAGTGAATAAAGGTATATTTTAATCATTGAAGTGTCACACTCAAAACAGTAAAAGGGGGGAAACCTATACTTTTTTTTTTTAGTGTTAAAATTTGTATTAATCTAGAATTCATAAAAAGAACGCGTAATGGAAAGGGAATATGACTAAAGAACTAGCTAAATTAATAAGTTAATATAGACTATTAAAAGCAAAGAGAGACATTATTATTATTATTATTATTAATCATTATTATTATTATTAGGCAAACACATATTGTTTATCTTTATTTTTAAAATAAATATTAAAGGATTATATTTGAAATAATCTAAATGAAACAAAAAGATGTTTCCATTGAGATTAATGAAAGAGGCTAGAATTAATGTGTTTGTTTCTCTCCTTACTGAAAATTTGGAATGGAAAAGGTAATAATAGAATTAAGTATGCATATATCAATGTATAATTGCTGTCATATTTGTATGTAAAGGTGATGACCCGGAAATATGTTGTCCACTAAAAAGAGATTTTTGTTTTTAATGTGAAAAACTAAATAAAATTTGTTTAAAAAAAAGCATAAAGAGATTCAAAAAAGATACTGGAATGTGATTTAGTATTGACAAGTGTGCAACTATAGCTATTAAGGCAGGCAAAATTGTTGAAGGTGAGGGAATATAGCTTAACAATGAAGATTTGATAAAAACAAGAGCACTAAAAGGATATAAATTTTTCATAATTTTGGAAGAATTTATTCTTTTATTACAGAATCAAATCAAAGAAAGTACTTCAACCAAATATATCAGATGAGTTTGTAAAATGTTGAAATCAAAGCTAAATAGTGGAAACATTAAATATTTGGGCCAGCCCGATATTCAATATGCAGCAATATAATTAACTGGATCGAGGTGGAACTTGACAACTAGATTCAGAAGATTAAAAAAAACACCCTATGATAATATAGCATGCTTTCCACCCCAAAAAATGACACTTGATGGACAGATTATTTGCCAAGAGAGGAAGAGAGTAGAGGACTTCTGCAGGTGAAACAAACTGTAATGGAAGAAAAAGTATGGCCTGAATGACAACATTAAGAAAAGTCAAGAATCCTTTCCTGAAGGAAATCAATCAAGGAAAGCTCTTGAAAATAACAAACATGAAGGCTGAATGTAGAAAGAAACAATTAAAAACAATTTGTTAATTAGAAGCATAAGTCAATACACAGTCAAAATTTGAAGAATATTAAAGGAAAAGCTGATAAAACCCCCCACATGGAATTGGTTATCAGGAGTGTTAAAGAAAAAAAATGGAAGGCTTTAATTGCATGAAGGTGAAAATTCTATATGTAACAAACTTGAAGAAAATGACTTGATTGTAGTAAAATGGATGAAACAATTAACCATTGATCAAAAGCTGAAGTAGAATATCACAAACTGACTACAAATAGCATCATGAACAAGTTGCCAGAATTATTCACTCTAAATTTTTTCAGAGGTCTGGTTTTGAATATTGTAAAAACTATTGAGAGTATCAAAGTGAGAAAGTTTTGGAAAATGAGCAGGTCTTATGGAACTTTAATATTGAAACAGACAAGACATCTTGTTTTTAATATGCCTTATATTGGGAAAAAAAGAAAAAAAAAGTCTGGTTCACTGATATTGCTATTCCAGGTGATCCAGGATTGAACAAAAACAATTGGAAAAAATATAAAATATTGGATTGAAGTTGACTGCTTATGGAAAAACTGTTGCTATGCCAACTGACATTGGAGTTACCTAAAGGACTTCCCCAATATCAGGACATACTGAATTTAACTAAAATCCTAATTTTATATATAAAAAACAACCCATCTTGCTTCGAATGGTCCATATTCTTAGATGCTTCCTTAAGATTCTTAGGTCTATGCTTACAATTTGAATTAAGTTTCAACCAGAAACTTAAGGCTGTGAATCTAACAGATTACCCACGCATAATACTAAACATATAACTAAATAATAATAAAACTTGGCTTTTAGAAGAGTCCTGGAAGCAATTTTGCTATCAATAAGAGATATTTCACTAAGGATATGTATTCTGCATTTGGCACAGTATAAGCAATTAATATAATATATAATATATAATAATCGGGCATAAAATACCAAAGTCAATTTAAATCTTAGAATGACCTGCCCTTCTTAAAACATTTTAGAATTTGGTTAGCTTATAACAATTGAAATCCTACACCTTTACAAAACAACGTGCCTACCGTCCCTGTCCTATTGTTTTTTATTTTTCTTATATGTATCCATGTTTTCATAACTATGTTTTTTACTTCTACCTATTATCTTGTAAGCAATTGACAAACCAAATAAAATAAATAAAGTGTTTTGAACGTAATATTCTATCAAGATTGCAAATCCACTTGCTTTCCTGTTACAATATTTCTTATCTGCCGGTTGGGAACTATACTGTAATATTTATATAAATTATAAAGAACGCCGAACTTCTTCCAGAATCCGTAATCAATACATTCCCTCCCAAGGTCTCTTTCAAGGGAAACAAGACGCAGTAGTTGCCTCTCCTTTTGATGCATTCTGGGAAATGTGGTTTCCTACGTTTTTCCGGTCAAACGCATGGGACCTACCGGGAATTGTAGTTCTATCGTCATGCCCAAGGCTTGCTGGGAAGAGTAGTTTTTCCATCTCTGCACAGTCAGCCTGGACTTTAACAGCCATTTCTGGGGAGGCCATGGTGGGGGGGGCTCGTTTATTGGACTTTCGCTTTTTCCCGGGTAAGTTTACTTTCTCTGGCGGTTGTTTTCCCAAACTCCTCCCCATCTCCCGCATGCTGGTACGAGTTGGTCATTGGGAATTGCTCTGGTTGACAAGTCTTTATTTCTCTTGTTGGTGGGCGAAAAATGAAACATTCAGCAGGGTATTTGCATCCGGATTATTTTCATTGTTAACCATTCCTGTGAAGAGTGATGCCTTCGAGCATGCACAGAATGCAGCTGTGTTATAATAAGGACCTTTGCATCCGTCGCACCAGTTTATGGAAGCAATTTTACAGTTTATAAGAGTATCTTTTTTAGTCTGTCTTTAGCTAGCCCATTTTGACTTACAGTTTTGAAAGTTTTGATGACTATTGTACGTTACCTTGTAATAAGTCCAGTACCAGTACATGTCTTTTTGGCATGTTTGATACTTACTATACCCTTTAATGAAGTATTATTGTTTTACTGCTGTAATATTGCTTGTCTTGGAAACTTAGCAGTATGGTACTAACAGGAGTTTTTATGTCATGATCAATGCCACAACATTGTTGATCTTTAATATTATGCATGGTTTCTTGACTGCGGTGGAATATTATTTCCTTTGAATATGATGCTCCAGAAAATTTTGAGTGAATGATCTTCCAAGGAAGGATAGTTTTGACATGCCATAGCCTTCCCCAACCTGCTGTCCAACAGATTTATTGGATTCAACTTTCCATAATTTCCAGAAAGTTAAATTTATCACATCTGAAATACAGTTGTGCTATGGATAACTTTAACACACAATTTCCTAACAGAAAGGTCTCTGTGTACATCTCAACAAAGTGGCTGTGTTTATTCTGATCAGTATAGATTATGGGAAAATAATTTGATACTATCCATTCATTCTGGACTTAAATCCCAGATAATAACATCCAAATATGAGATGGGCATCATGGTCTTCTCCCTGCCCCTCTCCCACAAGGTGCATTAAGCCACTTGTTTACCACTACAGTGATTAAAATAAAGGGACATTTGGGTCTTTTAAAACTTCAACTTTTTATTTTTTGTTTTATTTTCAATCCTATTGTACTTAAGAATACCCATAATTTGCTTGGGTTCTGGGAAACATTTAATATTATGGTTCACTCAGGGCATTTATGCTGCCAATAATGAATGTAAAGCTTTGGTCAACAATTGGCTATGTTTCCCTAGCATCTGACAAGGGTGGGGCAGCCAGGAGAATCTATTGGATGAGCTGTGATCCTAGAGAAAGCTTAGCAGGCATAAGAGCTGAAGAAAGAAGGGACAGAGAAAACAAACAAAGCAGGGAGATTGAGAAGACATTAAGTCTATCTAACAAAAGTAGACATTGAGAACCAAGGATGTCTAAAAGAAAGAGGCTTTGAGAACAAGAATTGCTGTGAGACAAACTACACAAAGGGAGGAACTACGGGTGCCTAGAAGGGCCAGAGGTGAAGTTAATGTTGTTAATGCTGCTGCCAAATATTTCCTTGTTATCTGCTGAGGGGATTGTACTGATTGGCTGCATTCTCTATTCTTGCTTTTCTTACTGGTTTTTTTCCTCCAGGGTTGATCTCCTGGGAACGGCCTTTCAGGTCAGTTTGGATGTGATGTCTGGGAATCTGGGACAATCTGAAACACCTACAGTTTATCATGAGAGACAGCGCCTGGAATTATGTGCCGTCCATGCCCTCAATAATGTCCTGCAGGAACGACTCTTTACCCAAGACATAGCTGATGAAATCTGTAAAAGGTAGGTTGTTTGGGTGGCTTTCCTCTCTTTGGGACTGATTATTCCCATATTTAGGATATTTAGGGGAGCGTCTCCACAGGAGTCAATTGCTCTAACTTTATTATACCAACCTTAAAAACATTAAACATCTGACAAGCATCTGTTTATGGTTCCAGGTAAGAACTAAAATAAGTGAGTCAAAATGAAGGGGGGGGGGGAAATCCCAAGGTTTAAAGCTTCGGTGTCAAATTAAATATGTAACATTTATAACAGTGAGTTGGTATATACACCATCTGTCCACTAGTTGAAAATTTGTTCAGAAGTATGATTGGAGCTCTGTTCAATGCAGATAAGTGTTTAAAGTTGCTTCAGCTTCTGTATGCCCCAGAGTCCTTTTAGAAAAGTAGAGAAGGGTGGAGTTTAAAATATTGATTTTATTTAATTTAAATATTTTGTCTATATTCAGTCTTAAAATACCATCTTTTCCTTAGGGAGAAGGATGGTGATTTGTTGATTTCTGTGGAACACTCTGACTGACAAGAGAGGTGGAGTGAAACTCTTTCATGCCCTTTTTCCATTTGAGAATCATGAGGGCTATAAAATTCCATGTGGAATTGTGCTTGAAGTGAATTATACATAAGCTTTATCTTAGAGAACTCCCATAAAGTATTCCTAGGGATGGAGCCAAATCACCTTATGCCCTCCCGTTCCTCCTAGCTTATTCAATGCAAACTCTGGAGGTGTCCTGGAAGTAGGGGATAGATATTGAGCTTGTCAAATCTCCTTCTGTAATATGAAGTGGTTTTTCTCTCTCTCTCTCTCTCTTTTAAAAGCTATTTAGAAATAATAGAAAAGGCTCCATCTCTTTTTGCTTTTGTTTGCATTTGCAAGTGCCTGAAAGGGACGCCGCCTTCTTTTGTTTCTTTGGAAACTGACTAATTGTGCTCAGGGCAAAGCAAGTCTGATTGAGAAGGAAGATTTCACCCTTGATAAATAAAGTAGACTATTCCAGCATGAGTGGCCAGGAATTCTTTCATGTATTCATTTAAAACAATTGGTAATTGTGGCACATTGTTTAGTACAATTAAGATAATATCTTAGATTCAGCAATATTTCAGTGGAAGCAGGTGTAAGCTTCAAGTAGGCCTCTTAAATACTGAATCTGCTGCAGTCTGGGTCGGTTGATTTATTGTTCATTTATACAATCTTATTCTAGGGCAAGTAGGAGTCTCAGGGGCTTCCCTAGAGTATCATAAGTCTCTGGAAAAGCCAAGGCACCAGCTGTATATAAAGAAGTGTACATCCTTTATTCTCAATATATTTCCAGGAGTAGCTCCCTGGAGTATAAGATTTTGCCAGCTTGAAATAAACAAAAAGTTAATACATGAAATGCATGCTTTAAAAACCCACACATCTTATTTTGGACAAGCTGGAGATAAGAAAAATAATAGCACAATACTGCCAATGGGCATGGCACATTATAACTTTAGGGAAGAAAGGTCTTTCCCTCAAGGAGGCTACAGTCTGACAGTGTGGCTCAGACAGGCAAGAAAAGAAGAGGGAAGTGAGGCATAGTGGCTTTCTTATTTTTGGGGTCTCCAGTGTGTTGTTCATGGTAACTCGGGAACATTCCTTACTATTCCAAGTAATATGTATCAGCTCCAGCATCACCTGTATTTGCAAAATGGCTCTTGGAGTTTCATGGATGCACTCTGAGAAAATAAAGATGACAGGTCATTACAATTCAGGGTTGTTGTTGCTGTTGTTGTTTTTTGAGAAAGAACCTGCCTCCTCAGAAAAACTGAAGTAATTTAAGGAATGTAATAGGTGCATATTGGTAGCCTCCATGGGATATAAAGAAAGATACTTCCTAGATAATTTTCTTGCAATTGGATCAGCCATGCTTACTGTGGAAACCATTTGTGAGAGTATCCCTATCATACTCTTAAGTATTCCAAATGTGTCCCTAATACTTAGGGGAGGCTTTCCTCTTTTTTCAAACCTTCGGTGATGTCTGTCATCTCTTTCCCCACAGGCTGGCTCCTGATGCTAGGTGGAATCCACACCGTAGCTTTCTGGGGACAGGGAACTATGATGTCAATGTCATCATGGCAGCTCTTCAGAGTGTGGGGCTTGAAGCCATTTGGTGGGATAAACGAAGGTAAGGAGCTCCTATTTATTTTTTCTAGCTACTTTTTCTGAACAGGCAAAAATCAGCCAACTCCAAACTTGTCATTCTATTTTTTTAAAGAACAAGTTTCTGTCATTCTCTACTTCAGTGTTCTCCTTCATCTTCTTTTCGTAACTATCTTTACTGATTTCTCCTCCACCTTCATGCCTCATTGCTTGAGACAGCTTATAATTTGAAAATGACATGGTCTTGTAGCATTTTGAGGTGTGATTGCTAATCTTTTCTCTGTAGCTGTCTTTGGCGCTTCCTCGCTGATAGATTGACTAAGTTGGGAGCTGCTTACCATGATGTGAAATCATCCTATTCTCTTGGCCATTTCAGAATTGTTTTTTCATCTTCCTGCCAGATTAATCTAGTTGCTTTGCCAAGCTCCTTTCTCCCTTCGTCTCATAGACCCCTCGAGCAATTGTCCCTGGCAGGGCTGGTTGGCTTCATCGTGAATGTCCCTTCCAATGTGTGCCTGGGTTTCCTGTCTCTTCCTGTGAGGCGTCGCCACTGGATTGCTGTGCGTCAGCTTGATGGCATCTATTATAATCTTGACTCCAAACTGAAGGCACCAGCACCAATTGGTGGTGAAGCTGACCTCAGGTACCAATAGGGTGTTAGTCAAGATGTAATTGCTTCCTTTTTCTGTGTGTGTTTTACTTCCATATTATGAATTCAAAGTGATTTCTCTAAAGTATAACATATCATACATAAGCAATACCAAATATCACATAACGTAATGAAAACCCAAAATATGGATGTTAAAGTTGCTAAAAGGAAAGAAATTGATTGACTGCTCTAAGTAGCCACAACTCTGCTGACATTTGAACAACATTCCGCAATGCATTTTTAGGATGAAGCTTGGAGAAAGCTGAAGTCCTTGGAGAATGGTGCTGGGATGGTGAGAATGGTGGTTGGAGGCTCACTCACAGGAGACCCAGCTGGATTCCTAATATTATGTCCTTTTTTCCCCACAGGATATTTCTCCAGGAGGTGCTTTCCCAAGGCGCATGTGAGTTGCTGTTGATTGTGCCCCATGAGGCAGGCGAAGCCAGGCCTTGGCTGAACACTGTGACATGATCCCAGGCCTCCCATAAGAAACTGCCTGGTCTAAAGATCTTTTTTTCTCCCTGCTGCACTCCCTTGCACCGCCTGCTGCATGTGACGTGGGGAAGAAAGGAGCACTCCATTCCTGTTTATACTGTCACTGTGGGTGCCAATGATAGAATCCATCTTACCTTCTCTAAGAAATGATCCTGACTCCGCTCTATTTCTGCTTGCTTTTTAAAGGCTTGGCTTCTTCTGGGATGATATGGAATAAAGCACATGGCACCCAATGGTGAAGGGTTCCTCCCGCGCCCCCCAAAGTATATCATGATACTTACGCCTATATAGGATCTTCCTTGTAGACAAGTAGATCAAAATTGGGAGTTGGTTTATGCGCAAGGCTTGATGAGATGCCCATCTCTTCATCCCCAGCCTATGATATAAATGCAACAGTAGAATGTGGGTCTTTTCAGAATTCTAATATAAAAGCCATTCTGCTAATACATCTAAGAGTTCCTTGGATGAAACAATTTGTTGACCATGCCTTAAAGAATTCACATTTGATTTTGGAAAAGGCTGTTCTGGAAAATTGAAGAAGTCAGGGAGGGTCATCTGAAGAACCGGTTGGGAGAATGAGGAGATACCTAAGAACTGTTAAAATGTAAGAAACGCGGGCTAACTTTAGTTCGGGAGAGCTATGCGAAAAGGCTTGACTTCTGTCTTGGGTTTCCTTGTGAAACTGTTTAAAGCAATATGAGAGGTTTAAGAATTCTGGGGTAGCTGTGGTTGATGTTGAGAAGGCAGAAGTTGAGAGGGGGAAAATAATATTTTGATTGAGAATAATGGTTTAGGAGAAGAGGGTAATTCAGATATTGCATTGTAGCCTCTAAGGTGCTTCTGTGCCTTTTAATTTCTGGCTGACAGAAATTCAATAGGAAGATTTTTCCCAAAACTGATATCTTAAAATAGTGGCCTTCCTGATCCTCTGTTTCCAGCACCCTTCCCCACTGGAACTGTAGCTCAATGCTATTGGGAAAGTACCAAGAGTGCTTGTGCCTGTTGAATTTTTGGCTGCCACATAATGATTAAAGGACAAGAATCTGGCACAGTGGATAAAGAAGTGATGGTCCTCTCACAGCAAGTGAAAATATTTGCTTCTTTTTCTTCATTTCTTCTTTTTCTAAAGGGAAAAAAATCCTAGTTGTGCCAGAGAACAAAGTATATAGTGAAAAGTTCAAATATTAATATGGGACAAAACAGTGGTCAGGTCATGGGAGACTAATGCGCTACCCAGTTTGTTATCCAGGTTTATGTATTTTTATCCTTTTCTAGGTGGCATTGCCTATTTTATGAAGTAGAATGAATATATGCATTCCAAGTTTTATGTTTTTACCCAAAAAACCAACAACTCTGAAAAGGTAGAAACAAAATGGTGCAATACAAATAAATGTGTGCTTGAGTTTATTTTATTTTTTTCTGGTAGATTGTGATTTGGGGGTGGGAGAAGAAGATTATATCCCATTTATGTAGAAAGTTGCACTGAACACCAAGAAGGCCACTGTCACCACTGTTTCTACAGAAAGTTGACAATTAAGTGAGCACAAGCCCAGTAAAATGCTTTGTTTCATACATATGAAAACAGTTATGGGCAACTGAGTTGATTTGAAAGTCGGGGCAAAAGGATGGGGAAAGTGTTTCTCATTCACCATTTTACAAATGAATAAAGTATTTGCATAAATGCCCCTTATGAGCATCAAGAACTGCTGCTGAACTATGTATGAATAAACTGTCAATCACAATTTTCTCTTTGAAAAAAAATTACATTGCAATGCTTCATATTTAGAAAGGATTTATTAATAATTTCTGGACAACCTGAATATTCTTAAATTTTATTTATTGATTAAATTTCTACACCGCTGATCTCATCTCAATCATTCTAAGTGATTACCCATCATAAGAAACCATATAAATATGTGAATAAAAGCATAAATTAAAAAGAGAATTAAAAACAAGTTAAAATTCCTAGTAAAAATAAAAATCAGTGTATAACATTCAAAAGGCTACAAGGTTAACAAGACAGCAGGAGTGTCCTCAAGCTACCATTGCCAGGGCTGCACCGTACTTTGAGACACACACACACACACACACACACACACACACACACACACCATTCTAATTGACAAAGTCAGATCTTAACAATCTTGGGAAACCAGAAGAGTGGGGAGGCACTTCATCTGGGGATAAGATGTTCCATAGGTTGGGGACAGCAGCTGAGAAGGGCGTCTAAGAACACACCAGTCAAAACTCTGATGGGACGTAGCATACCCTCCCTGCTTGACTGTGTGGGATGGGTTGATGTAATTGGGGCATGACAGTTCCTCAAGTATCCTTATAGGTCGAAAACTAACTGTCACATATCCCACTTCCCCCTCAAAAAAGATGGATAAAGGATAAAGCTGCCAAGAATTCATTTGTTGCTGTTCTTCTGTAATGTTCTATTTTTTATCGTCTTTTACTCGTCGCAACTAAAGAAATAGGTTTATGGACAAGATATGGCTTTCAAATTTCAGCGAGAATGTTGAATAAATATTCATACAAATCTCTTGGGAGGTTGGAAGCAAAATAAAAATAAATCAGAAAAACGGATTATTTTCTTTAAGGGGAGATTATTTTCTGCTTTTCTCCAGGAGTGTACAGAGCCAGTCTGTCCTATTTTCCATCCTGAGGGTTTGAGCTACTAACCGAGAAGGGCCACTTTACGGGTAAAGCCTGGTTTACAAGTTGGTAGTGACTTCTCAGAACAAAAATATTTGCTCAGCTTTTAAAAAAAGGGAAATAAATTCACTAGGGAACCTTAGTTGGGGAGGATAAGCAGGTAGCATGTGGATATATACTTCGTGATAAAGCAGCTGATTTTTTTGCTTTTTTTCTTGAAGTTACACCTTTTGCTTTAAGGTGTAAACTTTGCAACTATTTTTGGTTATTTTTGTCAGTATTGGCAATATGGTTACTTACAATAAACATTTCTCAGCCTGTTTTTTCAAACTATGGAACCCACAAAGTGTGTCCCCTCCCATGAAATTAGAAAAAAGAATGAGACGGTCACACAGAAATGGAGTGGGAGAGATTATGAAAATTATTTTCATAATTTTGTACTCAAATGCTGTGCTCAAAAGCTGAAACGCCCTAACAATGCCAGGGTAACAAAACAAATTCTCACAGTGCAGTTATAATTGTGCCAGTTTCCTTATCAATTCTCAATGATTTCCCTTTTTAAAAAAATCCCATTCTTCTTGCCTTAAATAATGTGTTCCTAATTGCTTAGCTGTGAGACTATAATTAGTTCAGCATTGTGACCCATGCTAGGTAAGAAGATCTGGGATTATCCCCCATCACCTCCAGATTACATGGTCTTCCAGAAAGTCTTAGGTCCTGAATCTCTTGAGCTCTACTTACCTTCCTAAGTCAGTGCTGACAATTATTTGTCCAATGATTTGATTTCTAAAGCTTTATATTTTCCTAGTGCTACAAGGTGATTGCCAACCTTCTAACATGAAATCGTCAGAGCCTGCTGTGACTCGCTGCACAAGGCCCCTTGTAAAATAAAAAATCTTAAAAATACAATCTAATACCTGACAAAAGCATAATGGTGAGTGTTGTATTTGTGAATCCTAATTCAAATGCACTTGTGCTATATTAAAATTTGCATTCTGATCTTTTTGACTGGCAAATGATAACCCTGTTAGCTTGCTAGTTTATAATTAGGTATTGGCAACTGCAATTTTTCTGGGATATTTTCTGCAATTTTACATGATTTGCAACTTAAATTCACAAAGCCTTTGGCTTAATTTTAAAAATCTTCCTCAGCAGGTATATTTCTGATAAGAAATTCCCAACTATTTTATAGGTAATGATCATAATGGAGCCTATCCATTAGAGCCTTAAGTCATGACAGTTATAAATTGGGTCACCCACATACCAACCTCATTTTATGACCTTTTTTGCAAGGACCATTAAGCAAACCAATGGTTTGCAGTGGGCCAGTTTTGTTGAAAACTGGATTTAAATGCCAATTTTGGGGAAAACTGTCGTAAAACAGTCATGTAACCATGGCATGCTGCAAATGATTATAAATACAGGCTAATTACTGAGCACCCAAAGTGCAGTCACAGGACTGTGGGGTACAGCCATCAGAAGTTTGAATCGGGGTCATAAATGGCTCCAGGGAAGTCCATTGAATCTTTGAATGGTCATTAAACAACCGGTCATAAGGGAAAGAAGAAAACCCCTAAAGCAAAAACAGAAAGAGAGAGAGAGAGAGACGGAGACAGAGACAGAGACAGAGACAGAAAACCAGGCTCTCAACCTAACAGCTAGGTCTCAGCCATTCTCCTAGTTCTGCCTATAATATGGGCCTTACTTATGCTTAAGGAATTTGACCTTCAGAACAATGATTTCTCTTGCTGCTGCTCTTAACAATTACTGAACCATGTAAAGTTTATCATACATAGGCACTTATATTAAATTTGATCCAAAGGTCACATAATATTTTTGTTCTTTTTACTTCTCCAGAATTCTCCCTCAGATGGTAGGGTTTAAAGGTTCACATCTTTGCTTCAAAACAGTTTTGACCATATATGGAGTCTGTGCCCTTAGTATGAAACCATTTTTCCCTTGTTTCTGCATTATCCCCTAATTAAAAAGAAAAGGCTAATGCAAAATATAAAGCTTCACTTCCCATTTATTTATTTTTTTACATTTGTGTGTGTGTGTGTGCATACACACACACACATTTTTCTGTCATGTACAGAGGTGGATTTGTAGCTGTGCAGATGCAGATAGATAAATTTCACAAAACATCCATAACAAAGTACATTTATTGGTACATCAGGTATCTTCATAACTCACATTTGTGACGAAGTTCTTCTATAATGACCAATCCTTTGTGTATCAGCCTTGCAGGTAAAAGATGGTTATCTCCTATCCCATCTCGTAGCGATAGAAAAAGCTACTATCAGTTCATGAGTCCAGGCAAGAATGGAGGGAAACCTCCCCCAACCCCTCGAGGGTCAATTTAGTGACCAATCAGGATTACAGATGTGGCCACATGACATGAACTACATTTCCCAGGATACCTTTAACTACATTTACCATGAAGCATTCCGTTAAGGGGACAGCTCATAATTCCTAAGTAACTATCCAATTCCCATAGACTGGCTGGGATAGCACACTCCCCACCTGGAATTGTAAATTCCACTATTAAAGGAAGAGGAAAAAAAATTAACTATAAACTAAGATAAACAATAAACATTAATACTAACTGAATAGCATATAACTATATAACTAAGATAAACAGTTAGCTATATAACTTAGAACAGTGGTCCCCAACCTTTTTTGTACCAGGGACCAGTTTCACGCAGAAACACTTTTTCAAGGACCGGTGGGGGGGACGGGACCGGACACTTTTTCAAGGAGGGGGGGAGGGGGAGGAGTCCAGGTTTGGTGGTTTGCTTGCAGACGTTTCATTACCTGACTAGATAACATCTGATGTTGTTACCTAGTCGGGTAATAAAACGTCTGCCAGCAAACCACCAAGTTCAGGGAGCGCCAATGCCTCCTCATTGCAACCCTGAGTGACAGATATTCTCTTCTATTGGGACATTTAAAACGGAGGGTTTCAGCTGCAGATTCAGGAACTGCGCCGGGCTGAGGAGCACCTTCAAAACTGAGCGCTGGGTGGCGGCGGCCCGCGGCTATCTCCGTGGCTCAGGACAGGTCCCTGCAGGATGGCTGAGAAGCCCCGCCTCTCAGCCCTGCCTCCCTCAGCCTCATCCCTCAGGTGTCTTCCTCGTTCCTCTCAGTCACTCTCTCGCTCCTCCACCAGCCCAGGAAGAAACTGCTTCAAAGAAGCCAGCAGGGTGGCTTTTCCTGTCGGCGCAGCTCCTCCGAAGCGCCCGTTCACCCCCACCCCGCCGCCCGCAGTTCAATCCAGTGCTCCGTTCTGCCTGCCTGCCTGCCTTCGTTTCTGGTTGTTTCGGAGTAACTTTGGCTGAGAATAATAACTATTCGCCTCTTTTACTCAGCCGAAGCTGCTCCGAAACAACCAGAAACGAAGGCAGGCAGGCAGGCAGGCAGGCAGAATGGAGCACTGGATTGAACCGCGGGCGGCGAGGTGGGGGTGAACGGGCGTTTCGGAGGAGCTGCGCCGACAGGAAAAGCCACCCTGCCTGCTTCTTTGAAGCAGTTTCTTCCTGGGTTGGTGGAGGAGCGAGAGAGCGACTGAGAGAGGAACGAGGCGGGAGGAAACCGAAGCCGCTGAGCCGGAGAGCAGAACAGGCTTTGGTTGCTTCCTCCCTCCCCTTCTTTCATTTGTGTCCTTGATCCCTGATCCCAG